CTGTGCCGGCTGCGACAGCACCTGCGAGGTGATGGCAGCGGGTCCGGAGGTGGCCCTGGTCAGCCTGGGGCGTTTTAAAGGTGCGGGGACGGAGACGGGTGTGAGGGTCATCAGGACGTTGTTGAGATGCTGTGCTTTGTGCTTCAGCTCCTTTGCTCGCTTGCGGTGCTCGTCACACTGCTGCTCCAGAGCTGGAAAGGGAAGAGGGATCAGCCGCAGGGATATGGCAACGCCAGTCCCACCATGGCTGGTTTGCCATGTACCAGCTTTAGGACAACCCCCACTTCCTTGCACTGACCTGCCAAATCCCGTGTGTACTGCTCCCTCGAGCGATCCATCTGACACTTGTGACTGGCCAGGACCTTCTTGACCAGATCCAACATCCCGAAGTTCTGGACTACGTTGTTGAGTAAAACAGCATCTTAAGAACAAGACAGAGATCTTTGAGGGAAGCAAAATTCCCCGTGCAAATCAGTTACAGCTTGGTAAAAAGCCACATGACAGTGAACACATTCAGCTGAGATGGCCAAAATCTGAGGGAGGGTAACACAAGAGGCTGGGGAAGAGGAGAGGACAGGAGAAGTCATGAGAAAGTGCAGGAGGTCACTGGAGTATAAACAATCCTCCCCTGCTTTGCAGGGCTGATAAGAAATCTGCTGGCACAGTAGCTGGTTGCTGCATCGTTATTCTAAAGGCTAAAATTCCACCTCAGCTCCCAAGCTTGTCCAGACCCGGAGCCAGCAGACTGGAATCCCCAGGCACAGGGAACTGGAGAATTGAGGCCACCTGAAGCATCCCCAAGTGAAGCCAAGAGCCTGTCTGGGGATCAGCCAGAAGTGGGATTTACTTACGGATGAAAACTATGTTCCTGTAGCGCCACCAGAAATCCCAGAGGAGAAAAACCCAGGAGCCCTTCTCCCAAGATGACCCTGGGCCATGCCCAGGCTCTTACCACCAAGCTGCAGTGGGGGATCCTGTGCTCGCTGCTGCAAGCCCTTCATGGTCTCCACCAGCTCCTGGTGGAACTCCTGGATCACTTCTTCCAGCAGACCAGTGTCCTTCAGGCCTCGCCAGAAAGCAAAGGTGTCATCTGGAGAAAGAGAAAGCAAAGGAGAACCTCAAAACCTCACAGGCGTTTTTACAGTGACCTGCTCTGGGTTCCCCTTGTGGCCTCCCTAAGGGTGAGGACCTGCTTGGCTGCAGGCACAGGGTGCTGGGCAAAGCCCAAGGAGGGGCAGATGGAAAAGGACCCGCTTTCCCCATCCTTTGCCACATACAAACAGGGCACTGATGCTACAGGAATGCTCTAAGTGCACTGGAGCAGCAAAAAGGATTTCGACCCCTCGGATTTGATTTTCTTTTCTCCCCTGGAGCCACAGCAAGCATTTGGCCTTCGCTTTGACACCTTAGTGCCAAGGAACAACGTCAGCCCAAGACAACGCCACAGTCACACCTCACACAGGCAGGATATAACACAGCACTATGTGCCCATAAGCAGCAACCAGCTAATCCCAGTGGATCCTCAAGCAGAGCTGCTCCAGCAAGAGGAATCCTGCTCCTCCTCCCTGCTGTTTCCCTCCTTCCCTGCATCTCCTCCACCCTCTGCAGTGCTGAGCCCAGCAGATCCCAAGCCGTACCTCCGATGCTGGTGCTCCAGTCGCTGGCATCCTCACATGTTTCTATGGTAATTGTAGCCGGGGATCCGTTCACTGCAACCAATAGCAAGAGAAGAAAAGAAAAAACCCCAAATCCTGGTTTTCCTCTGTGTGTTTCAGGGGCTGTTTCCGAGGGAAGAATTCCCTCCCTGCTCTCCTGTGACTTCTCCTTTTCACTTCTGTTCGACCAGCGCTCTCGGTGCGGTTGCTGTGCCAGCACTAGTTATTTTTTCCACACTGGAGTGCAGCACCCCAGGGATAACTTCTGCAACCCCTGCACAAGAACACATGCCCAGGAGCAGCACTTCCCTCCCATTCCCCTGCACACACACCAGTTCTGCTCAGGGCAAAATTCAAACAGATTCAGAGTCTTCATTTCTTTTGGCAATCCTTTTTTTACCCAGTTTGCAGGACTGGGATATCTGGAGGGTTTCTAAAGCCTGGAAGGGGAGAGTATCCCCCATGGGATGCAGGGGGACTCCCTCAGCTCTGCCAAATCTCAGGGATTTTGTTACCACAGAGCCAAGGGAATTGGCATCATTTGAGCCGTGGCAGGAGCAGGATGAATGGGCATGTGGGCAGAGACCCACAGTGCTGCACAGAGCGTTTAATGCTCAGCCGCTGCCGTTAAACCCAGTTCCTCTGCTCCTTTACTCTGCAGCCTCCAGGGCTCTGGTTATTCCAGCACAGCCCAGCAGCCTGGGAAGTATCTCCCCTTTAGCAAGCTGATGTCCATGTTAAATGGGAGGGCTCGGACAGGCTGTACCGTGCATTGGCACCAGCATCCCCACCACAACACTGGGCTGAGGTCCCAAGGGGCTCACTCTGCCCTTGCTCTGCTCCCAGACACCATCAGGAACATGGGGTGTGGGGCTCTTTGGAGGTTCAGAAGCAAAAGGAGTAAAGAAACACAGAAGCACTTAGAAATTAGAAAGTTTTCCAATAAAATAGCTGCCTGTAATTATAGGTCAAATTAAATTTAGGGCTACAGCTGCATAGCCACAACAGCATTTAAATCCAGTTTTATGAACTGCATGTATGAGTGCAGATTGAAATAAGACTCTACTGCATCCCCTAGTTCTATTTAATCTCTCATCAGACAAAGCAGCCAGGGAGCCTTAAATAAAAACCTCTAAATTATTCCAGAAGTCAGGTTATTGCTGGGAGGAGGAGGGACTCCTGCTCTGGCACCCTGCAGGGCAGGAGAAGCCAAGGTGATCCCTGCTTCCCAGGATGAGCACTATGGACACAGTGCCAAGGACAGAAGGGAACTTTATCGAGCAACCACTATTGCTTTCTTACAGATTAACTGCAGTCTTCTGCTTCAGCTACACAGTTAGGGGTAAGGCAGGACAGTTCTTTGGGTCATGCAGTGTTCCAGAGCAACTACGTGAGTTACTGCATCTCTGCTGAGATGCTCTAACAACGGCTCTGCCTGGCTCTGCTATGGGGAATCCTGCAACAGAGCAGGGAGAGGAAACAGAGGATGAAACAACCCACAAAGCCAGGAAGAGGCAACTGCATGGGCAGCTGGTTATGCATTTTTGTGCTTCAGTGCTTCAAAGGCCTTGTTTTGGGGGTGAGGAACGGTTGGACGTACCATCCGCAGAGGCGGGAGTGAGAGGGATGTACTCAGTCGATGTCTGGCTGGTCAAGGACACCCTGGCTCCAGTCAGGTCAATTTTGGTGCTCCGACACGTGTTGGAACAGACCTTTGTGTGCTGGTAGAAATCCAGCTCTCCTGAGTCCATGATCTTCCTGAAAGACAGGGAGCAAGCACATGGACAGGCGCATCAGCAGGAGCAGAGAGCTCCGAGATGCAGCTCCTGGCAGCCTTCACCCTCAGACTTCTCAAAGTCCCAGATGAAAAGCAAAAGCCAGGACAGCTGAGACAGGCAACAGTGTGAATTTCCCTTGCTGGGACCGATGAAGTCCTGGCTTGTTGAGGGAGGAAGAAGAAAAGGTCCCAAACTAGTCCCACCAGCACCTTCCCCCTTGTGCACGCCTGCAGCTTCCAGCAGAAGGGTGGCTGAAGTCTCAGCTCAGGGTGAGACAGCAGGAAGTCTCCTCCTTCCCTTTTTGACTCTACACCTCAAAAACAGGTGGGGCATAACCCTATTTATAAACCCAAATAAGGTCTCTCAGCTTAACCAAAAGAGGTTGCAACATTGGTGTATGTCATCTTCTCAGTAAGCATGTTGTCTCCAAAGCATCCCCAAGCTTTGCCAGCCAACAACAACCTGAACTTCCCAAGATTTGATCTCATGGGTTTGCCTCCACACATTCCTCATGAAGTTCCTTTCCCCTGAAAGAGCTGCCTTGCCAAAGCATAAGCCTATTATGCAAAATCTACGTGGAGCAAAAGCTGCTTAGAAGGAATACGGGAGATGCCTGCACTGAAGCAGAAGAACGCAGGCGAAGGCAATGTCACCCTGTCAAAGGAGCACAAACCCACCAACAACTCCTGGAGAAAGAGGTGATGCTTTTTTACCCTGCCTGCAGGCAGAGGCAGACTTTAATTAAATCACAGTTTCAGGCTGGTGCTCATGAAGACCATGGAAGAATTAAATCACTGTAGTTAAGACTAGAGAAGAGAAATGCTTGCATAAATAAGCCCTTGGTGCAAAAAAAAAAAAGGAAGCAAACTGAAGCTGACGTGCTACAATGGGAGCTTAAGCTGGTGACCAGAGTAACTTCCATTTGATGGGTCACACTGAGAACCCACAGACAGCATGGCCTGACCACCAGAGGCCATTAAAGTCTTCAGTGACCTTATGCCAGCTGGGAACTTGGTGTGGTGCAAGTCCTGAAAGGACTGGGGAAACGCTTCTTTCCAACCATTCTCTAGGCACAAGGATAAAGCAAAGCCATTGGACAGACCACACTTGGGCCAGGCTGTTGTTATTAAGAGAAACATCCAGTGCATTTGCTCCCTCAGAAGCAAAACCACCGTGCCAAAGGCTCTGTTCAACCCCACTGTTATCCCCCAGGAAGAAGCCTCCACTGCTGCTCTGTGGATACAAACCGGAGCATGATCCCGTTCATCCGGATCGCCCGCTTCCAATCCTTCAGGGTCGACTTGCCCGCCAAGTGGACAAACTCCTTGGGACTAATGAGGTGATCATCAAACTGCAAAGGGTAGAAGGGCAGCATCAGTGTGACAAGCCATAAACCAAACAAAGCACCACCCTGTGAGCACCATGCTCGTGATGCCCAGATGGCATTTCCTGGTGCCCAGCAGTGGGGTGCAGCCACATCACAGCCTCCACGTGCTGTTTAAAGAACACCACCAAACCAGATGGCTGACGCACGCCTCCCCACCTTAGAAAACATTCTTAAAGCCAGATATTGCTGTCATGGATGGTTGGTTAACAGCTGCTCAAAGCCAAGGCTTTCAGAGGGTGTGGAGCAGAGGAATTCGCTGCGTGCCCAGCCCAGGCAGGAGAAACACCCCATGGTTTGTGCACTACCATGAACAGCAGTGACCTGCCCATGCTCCACTCACCAGCAGGCTCACAATGAAACCCAGGCTGTCACTGGTGACTTTTCGGTCCAGGGGCACTCTACACCCCACACAAGTGAGGGAAGGAGAAGCCTACGTGGTCTTTGGCCTCCTGCTACCAAGCACAGCCATCGCTATCAGGGAAACCTCTGGCCTCTCTCACAGCTCACACCCACTTCCACTGAAAACCAGCTCCAGGGAGGTGGCACACACTGTACCAGCAGCCAGCTCTTCCCCCGCCTTTTACTGCCCTATACACCCAGCTGGGCCTGAACCCAGGTGCTGCCCTAAAGAAAACCTGATGAATCATAGCATACCCCGCTGGAAGGGACCTCAAGGATCATCTGGTCCAACCTTTTGTTGGCACCTAGACTAGATGGCCCAGCAGCCTGTCCAGCTGCATCTTAAAAGGGTCCAACACTGGGAAGAATCAGGCAGTCCTCTAAAGAGCTGCTTTACAACCCATCTCAAAAGACTTCCTAAGTCCAGGCCTCCTCTTTCCAATGCCCATGTTGAACAGCATGGAGCTCACTCATCACTACTGCATGAGAAACTGCTTCTCTGAACAAGTACGTGGGTTTCAGTGCAGAGAGAAGACTGATTTTAGGCAGCAGCAGCATTACCTGCAGCAGGACTTGTCCTCTGCCTCAGGGATGGAAAAGATCATCCTCTTATGAATGGCAAAGGACCTTTGGAAAGCCCTTTTGCAACAGTGCCCAGAGGAGATGCTCCCTCAGCAGGGTATTGTTTAGCTCAGGTACAAATGCCAGCAATGGCTCACTCATGGTATGTTCCTGAATTCATGCAAATTTTAACCATGAGTTATCCAGGACCCAGCAGAAGCTGTTCACTTGGTCCCCTACCAATAAACTTCTCAACTTTCAAACTGAGCAGACACTGGAAGTGTCCAAATTTCCCAAACTTTCCAATAATGCAGTGAAATTGAGGCCACATCTCTGCAGCCAGGACTGCTCAACTTGGCTGAGGAGACAAGCATCAGGTACCACAGTACCAAGAAAACTTCCTCCTTTCCCACCAGGACATGGTTGTGATGTGAAGCAGCTTACCAAAGCTCATCAAAAGCAGGACAAGCCAGGTGAGCTGGCAACACGGGCACGTGAAGGCACCAGTCCAGCATTGGGGGGCTTCATTCTCACCTGCACACACTTCACGTTGATCCCAGGACACACGAACTTTCTCCAGATAAGGTTGGCTTTGCTGTCCCCGCAGGTGATGGGGTAGACAATCTCTGCCTCCAAACTGTCCTCATCTTCAGCCATCTTCACTTCTCACAGGGAACAGGGGAAGGGACAGACCAAAATGAAACATGAGTCACAGCC